GGGATGACACAGGGACTGAGCAGTTCTGAACAGGAAAAACAGCAAGGAGGGAGATTCTGCATCAGAACGGGTGAGGGGAGAGAGTGACTCGATAAAATGGGTGGAGTACAATTTAGAAGAAGAATTTCCTGAATGACAACAGTTCATCTGCCTTCTGAGGAAATGGGATATTTGATTTGACAGAGGCAAAATTACATCAGGTAAAACCACAACAAATGTGCAGCAGGAAACAATACAATAAGCGGAATATGGACAGGAGGAAATTCAGAGTCCTCCTCTGTATAAATACTCAAAAGGCTTTAACAGGCCAGTTGTCTAGAGTGAAGTGGGTAAGAGGAATATTTTGGCCCTGGGGTGACAATAACTCCTGATTTGAGAGAAACCAGTTTTTCTTTAATTCATTTCTGCAAGCAATATTCCTTGATGTATGAATTAATTTCATGATTGATCTTTTTTTTCCTTCTTCTTGCTTTTTTGTATACATCATTAATTACTAGTGACTCGCATCCAATTATAACAATATATTTCAGTTACTCTGTTCTCACCAACCTATTTGAAAGTACAAAAGAACATATTTATCAAGGTGACAGACCCTAAATGAGAAGCACTTTTGCTGTGCAATGACAATGTGGTGTGGCCAGTTTTTTTCAGCATTGGAAATGGAAACAGTGCTTGAGAAAACTTCAGTGTTTCTAGATCAAGAACAGGTCATTGACAGCAATGAATGACTGTAACTCCTTAAAAGTGACTATAAAAGATAATCATATCCTCTGCCTGAGTTTCCTCTTAGCAGGTCACATGTTTGAACAGCACATTTATCTATAAATTGCAGCTTTTGTCCTTAACCACAAGGAAACCAGTAATGTCCTCTCAACTCTTTCTCTCCCTGTAAAAGCAGATGCAGCACCCACGTAACTCACTGGAAAAGCCAAGACCCCAAAGGAAAGCTAATCCAGGGAAATGTGCTTTCAGGGGTGAGGTGGTGAGAGAGGATTGTTTGGTAAACAACAGTGTTCAAAAATACCTCTCTGCTGAGAGGAGGGACAGCCTCTCTCATTCACAAAAACTTCAAAGGCATCCGCGCTGTGGAAAAAATACTTTCGGACTATAACAGGATTATAGCAGATTATAACTATTTTTTTCAAATTGGCTCTTAATAAATCCTCTTAGATGAAGAATCCTCATTTGGCCTACAAAAAAAGATATAGCCCTAAAATCATAAATGCAAATACCTTGTTCTTCTGCCAGACACTCCCTGCAGGCACTCACCCCCCAGAGCTGAAGGAGGGACAAGATCTGGGGGCTCAGCATGAGCAGCCACCTCTGCCCCGACTGGGACACGGCAGCTGAGTCACCAAGTGAGAGGACAATGGCTATTCTGTGGGGCAGCATTCCTTAGGACACATGGCATAGATTGCTGACACAGGAAACAGGGACAGGGCAGGCAGACATTTAGGAAATCTTGCCTAGGGATGTCCTTTCCAAAACCGATGAAACAATCCCTATGACACAGGGATCTTTCAGTTGTTACCAGTCCACTCACAGGTCTGGCAGTTGAACATCTGACAGGCAGATGGAACAGTCTTTTCAACAAGAAAACACTCTCCTCATCTCACAGAAGAGAACGAAATTCAAACGGGGTTTGGGATTTTTGTCTTTTCCCTCGGGCACTGTCTGAATTGCCTTTTAAATGCTAAAGAGCAGAGAAATGTTAAGGCATTTTCTTAAGGAGATTCCTGACAAACTTCAGGTCCTTGGGAATTGATTAGACTATATGGAAGAAAAGTACCTTCCATATAAGTAAGAATTAAACAGTAAGAATTGCTACCAGAATAATTTATATGTCAGAAGTTTCCCTTCCTCCCAGGAACATGTGTTATAAAGGAACAACAGCTTGGAAACATGGCTCTGCTGCACATCTGCAACATCAGAACCTCACCTGGATTTCATTCCCCAGTGCAGAACACAGCTCAGAGCCTGTCCCCAAAACAACACTCTACATAGAGTTGGCCTGAATTAAACATCAGCTCCACAACCAACCAGGTTTCCAAATGTCAGCTACTATCTGAATTCTGGTGTGTTCATGACAGGTAGCTAAAGCAAAGGAAAAGTTTGTTCAATTCTACCCCAGAATTTTGCATACTGGAAGAAAAGTTAAAAGAAAATCCTATTTTTGTTTTTCTTTTACATAGCCAGTTGAAGAGGTAGCTGTATATTATAAACCTGCATCCTCCTGAATTCCGGCCTTTCCAGCCAAATGCACACAGAGGGTGTCACATGGCTATTATTCAGCAGTTGATATCCTCCAGCAACCTGACTGTGAAGAATCTGCAGGATCATAGTCCTGCTCTGAGCTGACCCCAGCTCCTGGGATTGGGAGAACAGTCCATACATGTGCCAAGGCTGTCTCTGTGCTCTGGGCTCTGCTGGCTGAGGGGAGCCTTGACCAGGAGCCCTTCCCAGTGCACCTTCCCTGACTGTCTTGGAATCCGGGTCTGAACTTCAAAGCAAGCTACAACACTGCAAGGAAATTAAATTCCACAAAATATCACAGGGACCAAAATAGGGATTGGTGCTTTGATACACACACACCCCGTCCTTCCTTCTTCACACCTGAAGTGGTGTCTGAGTCCCTCTAGCTCAGGAGTTTTTTTCCTGACACCAAAGGTACAGGTCACTCTCTCCCTCCTCACATAAAATCACCTCTCCAAGTCCCTGATCATCACAGAAACCTTTCCTTTCACTTGTTGGCTTAAACTTTTAAGAACATGGGTGACCAGAACTAACTCCTGTATTTTGGGTGACTTCAACACTATTTCAACTCCTTCAATTCCAGTCGATGGCATTAATATTTCCCTATCCATCAAAGAGCTCATCTGACTAGTGTGAGCTGAGCTCATCTCACTGTCATAGTTACTCTGATGTGTGTTTTTACAAATTTTGTTTAAGCAGTGGGCAGGCAGATATCAAACCCACCTGACCGACAAAAACTGAAGCTCCACTTCGTGGGCAAACTTCAGCTCCCTCATGTCCTGCTGGGGCTTGTGTGTGTCAGCACCTGAAGCCCAGAGTAACTGTTATACCTGTAGATTTTTATAGCTGAGGGAAAAAAACTCACTAGATTTCAGATGAGGTTTTCCAGATATCATCAGATGTAATAGGAAAAACACATCAGCAGTAAAGGAAGGATTCCAAAGTGTTTCCTCCTGGCTGCAGCAACACACAGACTGCCCCAAGCACTGTCTGCTGTCACACCAGCCAACCACACCCTCCCGGGGGAGGGTTTCCCACCGGGCACAGAAAAAGCTCCTCTTCCTTCCCACACTTCCTTAGGGCCTCTTCCCACACAGCCCCTGCCCTGCTGTGCCTGCTCCAGCACTTCACCAGGCACGGGAGAGGAACGAGAAGGAACCCACCAGGGTAAGGGTCACTCAGGCACTTCCCAACTCCCCCCCTCTGCTTTTTTGCCACAGTTCTTGTTCCTATTTGAGTTTGGATTTCTTGCTGTTTCCATATTAAATCAGGAGAGAACATCTTTTCTCTAGATATCATTTAACTTTTTTTGTCAGATGTCATAGTCTGTCCCTTTAAGATGTTTGCTTGAAAACAATGACTTGAGTTGATTTCTTGAAAAATCATGGATTAGTATCTAGAATCAGAGCAAAGATAGAATAATTACTTGCTGACAGACATAGGTGAAGATCACTATTTCAGCTTCTCTGTGAAGTTTATAATTTTATGCAGCGTTAATCCAACTCAAAATATAGGAATGTAGTATTTAGATGAGGAGTCTAAACCTGCCTAACTTAATTTTGAAAAGCTAATTACATAATCCTTGAAAGTAAATAGAAGCAAATTAATTTAAAACAAAATCAATCCATTTTCCCCTATAATTTCAGTCTTTATTAAATGAAATTTACTGGAGAAAATATTCTCTCACCTTATTTTAAGAAGAAAACTTTTTTTTTTTAGTTCTAAAATATCTTTACACTTGAAACCATTTTGAACAATTATTTTTCTAAATTTCATTCTACATTAGTGTAATTTTATCTCATTATTGCCTTCGTATGTAAAAAACCACACTGTGTTCTTTCACTCTGTATTTGGTTTATTTGGGGGGAAAAAAGGAGGAAATATATTTTAATTCTAGGATGTATTAAAATCATAAAGAAAGATGGCTTCAAGGTTGGAAATTCCCCAACTTATTCAAGTGAATTTGTATTTCAAACTCTAGTCCTGTGCCAAGATTTGCAATGTATTTTTAAATGCAGAGAAGTAGTAGGGAATGCTGGAAGGGAAAATAAATAATAAATAAATAAATTTAGAGGATTTAAACTGCCAAACAGAAGGGACCAAGATGGAAGTCTAGTGGGATCCACCCTCCAGAAGTGGGAATGACATAGCAAGAGGCATAATTACCTGCTGGCATGTTTATTTTATCCCTACAGGACAAGCAGTGCCAGATATGCAAAATTTCCAATTGTCTATTCCTCCAAATCTTAAACTGTCTGTTATCAGAGGTGCATGAAGCTACAAGGTGGCAAAAAGAACTTTTTGTCACATAAAAATAGGTATTTCCTGGTTAGAATCTTCATACTGTCAGAAAAAAGACATTTAGAACTATTCAATCCCTAAAGCCTCATTTTGAAAAGTGATTCCAACCCACAATTTTAACACTAGATCTGTGAAGATACTGAAGTGGAATAAAAACCTTTGCCTGAAACTAACCTAGCTTTCACCATTGTCTTTTGGTGACAATGTGTTCCAGAACTTTGAACAATTATCTGTTTTGTACAATTATGACGGAAAGACATAGAACCAGAGACAAAACAGCAGCACTGTGCTCTGTCCAGTGCATTTGGGGGGATGTCAGGGAGCATGCAGACAGCTAACGATTTTATCCCAAAACCCTAAGCCTCGGGGGCTATCCTGGGAAAGAAGGAGCTGTGCCGTAATGCCGCTGATCAGATCCCTCTTGTCACTCCCTGGGCAGCTGAAGGATGAGCGGGCTGCGGTTCATCTCTGCGGTGGGATTCGCCGCGCTGCTGCTCCCGGGGGTCCAGGGGGGAGCGTGTCCCTCCTCCTGCAGCTGCGGGGCCCCGGGAGGGTCCCGGGGGCTGCACGTGGACTGCAGCTCGCGGGGGCTGCGGGCAGTGCCCGGCCTGCCCCGGGACACCCGCAGCCTGGACCTCAGCAACAACAGCCTGAGCCGCGTCCCCGCGGGAGTCCTGGACACCCTGCCCGGCCTGGAGCGCCTGGACGTGGCTGGCAACCCCTGGCACTGCGACTGCCACATCCTGTACCTGAAGCTCTGGCTGCAAGACTTGTCTGCACCCTCCCTTGCCCGCGTCAGGTGTGCCAGCCCAGCTCCCATCAGAATGAAGCCCCTGGCAGAGCTGACTGGGAACGAGCTGGGGATGTGCAAGAGGCTTCTCCCAGTCAGGTGTCTGGGGTTCTTCTGGCGAGACCTCATTTTAATTGCTGGAGCAATAATTACACTTCTTTTAGTAGCATGGGCTCTGAAATTCTCCAAAAAGCTTGTCTGCCAACTGAACCTCGGCCGGTACGGTGCCAGGGGCCGCCTGCTGAGGAGACACAACCCCAAAAGCCACAAGGTACACTGAGCTGGGCACTGCCACAGCTGGAACAGAAACATCCAACTCCTCTACGAGCAAAGCAAGTGCACTGGCAACACTGGTTTGAATGGTGACTGCTACAAACAGGTCGCAGGGCTCAAAGGCTGGTCCTGGGATGGACAAGCTTGCCTGAATGAGGGACTCCTGGTGAGGTGTTGACAGGCAAGGTTCATTCTGCTGCCACTACTCATGTGAAGAGCATTTCTGCTAAATTTTTTTTCTAAATTTTTTTAAATCATTCAACTTAGCATTTTCCACTGAATTCTCAGCTCTTATAGCAAGAAGATTTGCATCCCCAAATCCTACACTTTTTAATATATGAACATCAATTGTACTATTTTAGCAATTCTTTTCTCATTCACAAGTTCTATGAGTTTGCAACCCCTTACCCTCTCTGTGTCCCACTGGGCTTGGTAGGACCATTCTTGTGTGCAGACAGCCACCTCTTCCCCAGCTTCAGGAGTTTTCTGCCAGCAAAACCATTATGATTATATAGACCAGCCACTGAATGCACCCCTTACTGAATACATTTAAAGTTGGACTGGTAAAGAGAATATAACCAGTAAAAATAATCTTAAATATTATTGAATTTTCTGGAGAGTGAACAATAAAAAAGCATTTTATGTGAAATCGAAATAATGGATGTTTATTGAACATTCATACTCGCCCAACTTTCTCTTTCACAATTCTAAACACTTCTGATTAAAATTCTAAGAAATTTCCAGAACTTGTCTTGCAGTTTTACTACAGACATTTGATGCTCTGGATTTGATGCGTAACAGCTTTGAGAGGATGTACACTCTTCCCTTCTCCTCTTGTGTGCCCATCCTCATAGAAAAATTGTTGTGGTAACTCAAGCAATTGTTTTCTCCCTAGCCTAAATCCCAAGAGTCCAAGGCCAGCAATTCCTGCTGTGACTCCACCTGCTCTGGTGAAGTCAGGCCAGTGAGATGGGAGAGCTCTGAAGATCTAAAATTAATCTACTGTTGGCAGTTCAGTTGAAGACACAATTTGCAAATGCTCCTCCTGACTCCAAACCTGAGCTCGGTTCTAGAGGCCACCTGGTGAAGGTGCCAAAGGCTGCTTGGCTCTACACCAAGCTCCCTGTGAGCTGGGTGGGCTCCTTGGTGCAGCTCAGCCTCTCCCCAACAGGGCTGGGGCTGAACCTGCTCCTCGTGGGTGGTGCTACAATCGCCACACACTCTCGCTGCTGTGAGAAGCCACAAACACCCAAGTCAAAGACAGCAGAAGCTCACAGGGACATTTCCAGGTCCCTCTTGCCCCCGTCAGAGCATTTCAGCAACATGGAGTCAAACTTCACTGCTGACTGCTGGTGACATTCTGAGACAGCTTTAGAGGAGATGTGTTCCTGCCTGTGACACCTTCACTGCTGGGCCCCTCCTGCACCCCCAGGGAAGGCCAGTCTGATACACCACCCCTCGCCAACCCACATCCATGCCCCTTCAGGATGAGTCCCTTGACACCAGAAACAGCCACCAAACCCCCGGTGGGTCTGCTGGAAGAACCTGTGAAGCACAGAGAGATTTGGGGCAAGGACACACACCAGGAGTAGAGGGTTACACAGATCAGCCATAAGGTGTGGCTTAGGGCTTTACACTGGGAAAAGGGAAGGAACAGACCCAGGTGCTTTCCCTGAGACATAATTAATGGTCTGGGAGACAACACACCCATTGCAATGGGAAAATCTGCACGTGATACACAGAGGGGAACAAGAAGAGGGAAAGAGTGAGTGCACAGAGCTGTGGGTCACCTGGAGTGCTGAGCAATCAAAAGCAAGACTGCACAGCTAGAGAGGAAAGATGAGCTGAGGACTCAATGCAGAAAAGTCACATAATCCAGTAGCGATGATCTCCCTGGTATGACATTGCAGCAGTGGGTTAACACCACCTTTTCTTGTTAAAATAGGGAGCATCACTTAGGGATAGAAAGACTTATTTACTTCCATGTTCAGATAAGCTACAGTAATTCAGCATCAGTGTCTACAAATCAGGAACAATCAGCCGCAGAAGAATCAGAAAAACAACAGTAATGCAAATAAAGGATCAGAAAATAGATCTTAAAAGGAGATTAATTTCTTTTAATAAAGAGAAATTTAAGGAATTACAAGATCAGAGCTTGTATGAATCTACACAAAGAGAAATTTCTAAACAAAGGATTAGGAGCAGAAATTAAAACATCAGACTAGGAAAAGGGCTCAAAATCTAAGAGTGAAAATAATTATACACTGAAACAGTGTGTCAACCATCCCTCACTTCTCTAGCTTTATTCTACATTAATAACCTCTGCAGGACAGAATTTCAAATAAACACAAAGGAATGTAGTGCTGTACACACCAAGATAATTTTAGAAAATTCTCCTGCACTGAGCTGTCCAATTTTTTAAAAGACAACCACATTTTTGTATGGGTGCAAAATATTGCACTCTGCAAACTCCCATGGAGAGTCTCCTAAACGATATTTCTTGTTTTCCCAAAATAAAATAAATCTTTAACACTCTACGTTTACCACTCTCTTTTGTGCCTATAAACTAGATAGGTATAAAATAGTAAACTGCTTTACTGTATGGCTTCAGTGGCACAAATACACAAAAATAAGCAATTAGCAAACGTTTCTGCTTGCACCAACCAACATATCAAACAAGACGCACAGAACACAGGAAAAAATAATTGAGAGAAGGTATTTTCTGTCCTTGTAAGAGGAAAGAAGAGGGAATCTCTTCCATGGCAATAATTCACTTTCTACTAAAAGAGTATTGTATTTATCATTTTTCATCCATTTGGTTCTTACCTAAAAAAACACAAAACCCTGCAAAGGGGCCAGCTAGAACTGCTAACTGAGCCAACTGAAAGCTCAAAGACAACATTCAGTGTTTATCTGGCAAGGCCACTGTGTCATGCCACATGCCCCATCAAATGGCATAACTAACCCACAGCTGTAACAATGTACAAAGACAGGAAAACACATCAGCTATCTCAGTGGAACATGCAGGCAGCATTCCCAAAGAGCTCTGGGAAGATCCCAGAAACTGTTACTGCATCATGCCTGCAAGAGGGCAAAGTACTGCCTACATTTGCTCTCACTTTCTTTGGTGACAGAGGTGTAACTGCTGGGACAGGGCACAGCTAAGAAGTTAGGAGGTTTGGGTCCACATTTGGCAAGGCAAGCAATCAGACTCAGGATTACTGAGCAAAACCAGCTCCCTGCAGCACACAGAGCAGGTCTGTGTAAACTGCAGTTCAATCCATGGGTAAAATAGTTGCAGGTTTCATTTATTAAATGGAAAGGTGTGTGAATCACCACCTTTTTCTTGAAATGCTCAATGTTTTCTTAACACTGTAGCAAACAGCACTGCTCAAGCTGAATGATTTCTGCTTAGCTTTGTGCTTGCTTTCTGCCTGGGGTCTGTAGTTAAGTTTTTTCCAGATCTGTTGTTTGAGCTCATGGATCAGGGAAGTTTGAGGGGCTGGCACACATCATGCAGTGCTGTTCTCCGTTGTGCTGAAGGGCCATCATACTATCAATGGAAGGTAATTCACTGATCTCTGCTCTCTGTGACCAGGGACAGCACCCAGGGAATGGCTGGAGCTGTGTCAGGGCAGGCTCAGGTTGGATCTCAGCAAAAGGTTCTTCCCCCAGAGGCTGGTTGGGCACTGCCCAGGCTCCCCAGGGCAGTGGGCACAGCCCCAAGGCTGCCAGAGCTCCAGGAGGGTTTGGCTGATCCTCTGGGGCACAGGGGGTGACTCTTGGGAATGGGCCTGTGCAGGCTCAAAGCAGCTCATCCCCTAAAAATCACCCTGTCTCAGCTCAGAGCTGGCTGAAAGGCACAAGTGCTCTGTCCCTCTGTGCACTGTGCAGCCAGACTGGCCTGGCACCCGGGATGCCATTCCTGAGTGAGCCACCCTGGGGCCGCCTCCTGAACTCAGCTACAAACACTTTTCTTGGCGAGAAGGAGACAAGTACTGAAGAATTAAAGCACTTTTGCTCATTTACAAGACTGCAGGCACCAAGGAAGAGAACTCTGAAAGAAAAGCCGAAAGAAAAGGGCCGCACAGTGTCCCTGGGGCAGCAGCAGCAGCCTGGGGGGTCACCGGTGCCCCTCGGACACCGCGGCAGCCGCGGGAAGCGCGGGGAGGAGCTGCCCGAGGGCCACGGGGCCGGGATGCCAAGGGTGGGGCAGAGCTGGGAAGCAAGGGAGGAAACGCTGGCACTGCCACGGACAGCTCATATGGCTACTTTGTGTTTATTTTTATTTTTAATGGAAAATAGGCACTTTCCCGCTGCGCTCAGGGGACACCTGCCGCTGGCAGGGAGGGCGCAGGATTTTGGGCTCGGCACCACTGAGGTGTACAAAACTCCACGGCTTTGAGAAAGGAGCAGCTCGAGCCTTCCTGCCTCGGCAGCAGTGTCTGCTTGCAAAAGACAAGCACGAGTGCATGTCTGTGATGCAAGTTATTTTCTTCAGAAGAGTAAAATTACAATATTTTTTCAGGAAAAAACACATACCACATCCCGTGGATTCACTGAATTTGCTTGATCTCCCCTCCATGTTCTAAAAATGTTGATATTTTCAGAATATACGTTTCTCATGTGTTTCAAATTCCACATCCTTCAGACAAATGAGTGAGATCTAAGTGTACTCAACACCTTTCTTTTCCCCATAAAGCACGGACGAAACAATCTGAAAACAGCTTTTTCTTTCACCTTAGACTAACTCCCATGCTTTGAGTACCAGCCCAGTTCTCCCCAGGAGCTCTGGGAAGCTCCATGACACGGGTACATGGCATTTTACAGTTCCGAGGGTCTTCTCTAAAATGTAAGTCTCTGTCAGAAGTGCAAAGTTTTGAATTTGCACTAACAACTGGCCTCGCAGTGATATCTAACCTGGATTTGACTGTAAACCTTTGCCTATCCCAAGGCTTGTTCAACCTATGGAAAATTAGTTCACATTAAATTCATACTAAAGACTAAGTACAGCTTTGCTCTAAGGAATGAAACACATCACAAAGTTAACAAGTTTGCTCTGCATTTACCTTTTTCCATCTTAGTTACACAGATACTGTTTGCACTGACCACATATGGAATTGCATTAATGCTACTAGAATAACTCCAAAAAGAGAATAACTCATCCAACAGGAAG